CATGCACGCAAATTTAAGCGAAGACCAACATGATGCTGCCATTGAACTTGAGCTGTGTCATGTGTTCATTCGACCACAAAAAAGACCGGTGTCTCGATATCTCGATATGTCTCATGAGCCACTGCCCTTCAGCAAAAGAGCATGGCAGAGATGCTGCCACTGGCAAGGCCTCAGCGCTTTTCAGGGAGGCCCCAAAGTTGATTTTCTGAATATGGTTGACATCACTGGACACCACTGGTTTTGGAAAGTGAACGTTTTGCATTTAGGAATATTGATAACTTGATGGCTTTTGAGAACCTCTGTTTAATATGTCCTTGGGGCTGGGATTCAGCCATCAAGCAATGATCGACTTGTTACTGCTCAGGAACACCCATATTCGTGTTTGATCTTTTTTGACTGCCTTCAGACTAGCACGGTATTTACTGTGTTCCTGTTTAGGCAAGAGACACCAAGCACCCCCCCCGTGCAATTCCAAGGCTTCCTGACAAATAGGCCAAAGAGCGGCCCAGCTTCAGCCATTGCATAAGGCAGCGCCTGCACTGCAAGCTTCAGAACTTCACACATGCCAAATTGCCAAATCAATTACACTATATAGCCAAAGGCAGAACATTTACAGGGCCTCTTTATGGAGTTTCCCAACAGAGTCCCTGTTTTTCTTTGTTGCCGAATACCTGTCTATACATGTGTCATGCATACACATATACCTGATCCCTATCCAACAAACAGCAACAAATGTAATAGAAGCGATATGGCTGGCTCTTCAATTATACAGGCAAAAACAAGTATGCTCGAGTGACTATATACATATCACTTAACTGAATTCTTATCTAACGATACCGTATGTTGTTCTCGGATGCATCTGCAAGATCTTCAGCCAAAGATCATTGTTGCAGCCGAGGTGCTAAAATCGCTACACCCAGCAGGTTCACGGTGACGTTCGCCAATGCCTGGACTACTTGATTCTGCTTGATCCTTGTCACGGGGAATATGATGGGTTACGATTTTGGCAACCCTCAGAACACAAAAAAAAACGCTTCGTCCTTGGTTCAGCTTCAATAGGCAACTCCAAACTGTCTGATGATTGTGTACATATCAGTTCACATTGCAGTATCTGTGCTCTTCAAAGCACAAGTCAATGCTCCATGTGTCCTTAAATCAAACGATGGCTTTGGACAAAGAACGAGGTGTCGTCATGTGTACCATACAGCAACGGTGTGTGTGTGTGGGACTCTTCGCTTGGTTGTTGGTGATGGTATGTCGGTGCCTTTTTGCTTTCCGCAAACCCAAACAACTGCACATACAGAGTTATTCTTTCTCAACTTCAGGTGCATTGAAGCACTCAGAGTGTATTGCCGTTGTACAGTCCTCAGATCTATATAAACAGAACCAGAATGGGAAGAATGCAGTGGCGTACGGCGTGCGGCCTTGAGACTTGAGATGAATAGCAAGTTTGGACTTTGGACAAACGTCACCAAAACCGTCTGTTGCAGAATGTGACCAACACAAGGCTCCACTGCCCATAGTAATTGCAGGTGTTAGTCCCGGATCTACAACTGACCGGGAAAAAAAAGGCGTACCTGCCAATTAAGCAGCTCATTGCCACGTAGCACCGGAAACTGCCAAGCAGCCGGAGAAAAAACACAGAACAACATCCCCACAAAACAAAAAACATGATAAAACTGCTGGAACAACAGTAGTGAAGCAACACGTGGTTTCTTTTTGAGCAACAAACACACAGTTTGAGTGTTGCCTAATTTTGTTTTCTGAACACATTCACAGGTGTCCTGAGCGGAATCTTCAGGTCTGTGGACTATGCTTTTCAGCTGTTTGGACTACGAATCTCAACTGATGGAGGGCACAGGTGCTGTCGTTTGACAAAGACGAGACGCCTGCAGTGCTACCATGACTCCTGAGGCATTAAAGGCGCTGAGCAGTGCGGAGTAAAGTCATGGTTTCAGCCATCGTTTCTTGTTTACAGGAAACAAGTACATATGAGAAAAGCTGGAATTGCAAGCCAGCGTGAGCAAACGATAGCGGTTTCCAGATTGAGACCACATGCACAGTGAGGCAATATAGGGTTAAACTGGTTAAACCATCAAAGCCCAGAACTGTCATTAAATATGATTCAAGATCTTAGATGCCTTAGACAATGTGAGACAATGATCAATCCAGAAAAGCCACAGCACAGGAGGACATCCCTGCCAGCAAACCTAGCAAATTCCAGGCCTTTTCTTTTTTCGATATCTTTGTGCAATGCTTGAAGCCTGTACATGGTACGTACATTACATGCAGCATCATGCAGCAACAATTAACTATGGCTACTATGGCCTTTGGTTTTGAGGGCCATTCGATCGGGATCGATGAACCTCACCCGGCCAATTGTTCTATCTGCTGTAAACTGAGGTCCATGGCCGCAGTGCGTTGCGGGCTCACAGTGTCTCTTCAGCTCACAGTCTCTCGAAAAAGGCGTTGATCTAAACTAAACCGTGTCTGGAACATCTCCTGATCGTCTCCTTTTCAGAGATTTTTACTCCCCTTCTCCTCGTGCAATCCACTGAGGCCCAGCAGGCCGAGCCGAGCCCCTTGAGAACCTGAACCTCTGACTTGTTCCAATCGACACGACAAGCGATCCGAGGACACATGTCCTCAAGAAAACCGTCAAGATACGGTTCTGGATCTTCTCGTGGTCCCACAGCATCTATCAGAATCTATCAGCAAGTTATTGAACTCCTCGAGTTTCTTGGGATCAGATCCTTGCCTCAAAGCAGTCGCTTTGTGGCGGACAACCTGCGAGCCTCCAAACTGCTCCTGCAAGCGCTGAAGGCCCCGTTGAAGATCTGGAGGGGGAAACCATTGCTTTCTCCTTTTAACGTGATAGGTCCTGCAGTAAATGCTCTACCCTCTCAGGACCTCCTTGTCCTTCGGTTGACATTTGGGTTCCAGCCTCGGAACGTGATGTTCCCGCTGCCTGAAGGCAAGTCTTGATACAATGACAGCTCCTTTTGAAGGCCATCCTCTCTGGGTCCACTGCGGCAAAACATGGTGAGTTCTCCTTCAACTTGGTCAGGATGAGTCGGGATGTGTGAACCCCACAAGCTTCCTGTTGGAGGCCACCGCTACTAGGTTGGAGGCCATCGCTCCTCGGGTGGAGGCCATCGCTACTAGGTTCATCGCTATTAGAACAAAGAAAAAGGAAATGGAAGAAACCGACAGCTTTTCGAGAAGTTTCTTGGAAACATGAACAAGACCCATCCGGACTCTTCCCAGCCATGGGAACTCATCAGATTCAGAGACTTGGGAGACTTTTTCCTTTGCAGCCTCTATAAACCCTTCGCCTAAAGGCGCCGCTCAGGCAATGAACTTCCATGGCAATGGCTGGCGCAAGATTGAAATCGAGAATTGCCAGAGATATTCACGTCGCTTCGCGACGGTAACCGCCCGCACCGCATGGAAGGGGCCAATATTTCCACCGAACATAGCCCCGGAAGTGCCCCCCCCCTCCCCAACGTGGCCGAGCATAGACTCCATGTTTCCAGATAGGGATTTAACAAGCTATGTTTGGCCACGTTAGGGGGTGTTGTTTATTCCAGTTTACTGCGTTCAAGTCCCTATCTCGCAGACACTACCTTTAGATAGTGACTTCTAGGGCTATGT